TACCTGTGCATTGGCGTATAGACATTTGAGTCCATTTTGATTGACCTTGTGTTTACTGTCTATATAACCTGCGTTATGCCTGACTGCCCCTATTTTCTTGCCACTTGTATGATTCATGCATATGGCATGGTACTCACTATTCAATGTTTGGTTTTGCTTGACAGAAGGACTGATAATCTTACCTGCACAAACATCTATGTTACATGCACTGATAACCCTATGAGTTTTAGATTACTGGGGACAGAAATGTTCTGTATCAATTAATACAGGCAGTTCATTTACAGCACATTGCATTAATTTAAATACAAACTTGCAAAACTTACAGTTCTGAAGGCAGGATTTCTCTAATCAAGGTTTCCTAGTTAAAACCAATTACAAGTGTTCTTTATCATCAAAAAAAAGTAATAAAAATATAGCCAAAAAAATAGCCATAAAGGACAAACTAAAAGCTCTATTTCTTAAAGGAAGTGCAGATTTCCCCAGAATATATTGAACATTATGATCCCAAATAGAAGAATGAGTTACTATCAATTTCTCGCTCTTATATGGACTTCATTTCAATTTTCTGACTCTTATTGAATCTATTGTCATAGTCTGGATCAAATGATTCATTCCAATATGGTTCAAAAGAGACCGAAAGAGAGAAGCGTGAATTTATGAGAAAATACATCTTTAGTGCACTACACAATACAAATGTGACTTCGGTTTGTAGCTTTTATATGGTTTTGTCTGTAGTCTAGTGGACATTGAATCAGATAGCACCACAACCTGAGAGGAATGCAAATTTTATATATATGTGTGATTACTTGTCTGGTAAAGTGGGGTGATGAAGCGTTGCAACTGTTTCATATGCTTCTGCCTCTGCTTCTTATAGTCAGCATATCATGTGTACTAATTATGATCAACATTTAAATGATAATCTTTCTTTAAACTTACTTTCAAACACTATTAATAAACTACTGTCTCTTCTCTTCAAAAGAAATGCCGATATTTTTATTAGAATGCTAAGAGAACAACTCAGTAGGATGTGCAGTTATAATAGTTTCTAAGTATCTTTAGTCATGTTAAACTGGTTCAGACTGGATATTTTAAGGATCTGACAGCTACTTGACATACGTGAAGGAGTATGCTGCATAATAAATTAGATTTAACAATTAATTGAATAGATTTTTATTCTTTAGTTAATGTTATAATGTAAAGGAACATGTGCAATTAAAATAGAAGCTGAAAATCTTCTGTTTCAATTTTTGTTAAATATGGGAAGTGTCAGAATAATTGCGCTACTATGATTTTTTTAAAAATAGAAACTGGTTCTTTTCCTATTTTCTGAAAGGATTTGAAATGTATTAAGAGTATCCATTTATTTTCTTCCTTTTCCAACAGATATTTCAGTTCCTAAGCATGTAAGCAGGGTAAGTATTATAGCATTATGCCTCAGTTCTCATTAAGTGACTGATTGTTAGCTGAGAACTGCCCATACATGTGGAAACCTTTAAGTCAATTTAAATGTCTTTGTTGTACTTGATAATGGTTTGCATATCATTCCCAAACAAAAAAATACTTTTACCCAATTTTGCATAATTTACCCATGTTTGGAAATTACTGATTACATGATCTCGTTCAATAGCTAAAGGCACACAACTTTCCAAAGCTCCTGGAAGCAATTATGGTGCTAAAAGGATTGGCTTTGGGCTATTCGTCTCTTACCATTTTATGTGCAGAACAGTAGCAGAATAGAGATGGAAAGTAGACAGCCAGGTGGCCCTTTCTCAATTCTGTATTAGGAAGAAAACAACTTGTTGGATAGAGATGATGTATCCAACATGATCAGTTTCAGGATCCAACCTGGGTTGGTCACTGTAACCAGAGATTTTCCTTCCAAACTTTTGGACTCATGCTGGAGCCCATCTTCAGGGAACTTCTCTCTAGCTTAGAGATATGTTTTCTGAAGATGGGCTCAGCTCAAATCTGAAAGCTTGAAAGAGAAAACCTCTGACGCCACTAACCAACCCAGATTGGATCCTGCAGCATTGTCTGGGGACATGTATATTTGTTTTCATTTGTGATTATCATTTCCTTTTTATTTTCTATGGAATAAAGTAGGAATCACTACATTAACCTATCAACATTTCCAAAATATAATAATTATATATTTTTAGAAATATAGGAAGTTGCCTTAAATCAAATAAACATTTCAGTGAGTTCAGTACAGCATTATTTACTTAATTGGCATAACTTTGTTAGAAAATTGTATTGCCTTGCTTTGCTCTCTGATACTGAGAATTGAATCTGGAACAATTTGTATGCAGCACATTCAACTATGACTAACTTGTACAGTTGATTTCAGTATGAAAAAAAATGATTTAACCTGGATCTAATCTATAGGAAATTGATATTGATAAACTGATATTGATAAACTGAAAAATAGGGTCTCGTGATTAATTTTTCTGTTTTGTCTAAGCCAGGGGTGTCAAACTCAAGGGGTTGGATCCGGCCTATGGGGTGCTGAAATCTGGCCCCCGGGACTGCCCTGGAAACAGCAAAGGACTGGCCCGCAGTGCCTCTGCCAGTGACTGGCAGAGGGTTGCAGAAGGCTGTTGCAGCTGAAAACGGAGCTCAGGAATCCATTTTCTCTGGCAGAGCGTTCAGGCCACCACAGGTGCCCCTGACATAAGTGATGTCAAACTGTCCATGCCCACCCTGGCGATGCCTACTCTGCTTCCCCGAGGTCAAACACAATCCTGATGTGACCCTCAATGAAATTGAGTTTGACATCCTTGGTCTAATCATTCAATGTTTTCTCAGGGAAACTTTTCATTTATAAAATAACTTTTTCTCATAAATGCCACATAATTATTTATTCATAAGATATTTTGAAATGTATCCTTATTTCCAATAGTACCAAAATCCCGATATGGAAGGAATGGTGTACGACCTGAACAGCCATTTAGAGAAACGGATGGATATAACAGGGAACAATCAACTGCTCTTGTATGAATTGAGCACCATCATTCAAATAGGTAGGAAAATATGTTTTATATTTGGAACAAGAATCTATGCATCAGTTTGAGGAAGTGTCAGTTCATAGAATATCATCACAAAGTTTCACCTATGGGGAAAACTATTAATAGGCCTAGAGTCAATGGTACTGAAAATTACTAAGAAATCCATGAGACCAAGGACCATTGCAGCATCCCCCATTCTGAGGTTCCCTGTGGTGGGAGCCGCTGTAGAGAACTCTAGGGCCAACAGGAAATGATCTTTCCATGGCAGGGACTGACGTTAATGTCCCCCCCACTCAGGAGTGAAATCCAGCAGGTTCTGGAAAACTGGTAGTGGAAATTTTGAATAGTTCAAAGAACTGGTAGCAGAAATTTTGAGTAGCTCCGCAAACTGGCAAATGCCACCTCTGGCTGGTCCCAGAGGGGGGGAGGGAATGGAGATTTTGCAGTATCCTTCCCCTGCCACACCCAACAAACCACACCTACCAAGTCACACCATGCCACCAAGCCACAGAACTGGTAGTAAAAAAAATTAATTTCGCCACTGCCCCCACTCCAGATCATGATGTTACTGCCCCAAGGCAAACACCAGATATATTGTGTGACCCTTGTGTGAGTTGGGCCATGAATAAGTTGGACCAGGTCCATGGCTATTGTGGTGTACATAAACAGCTGTCTGACTCAGATCCCAAGCCCAGAGATGTTGTAGAAAAATATAGGACACGCAAGCCAGCTCTTCAGGGAAGGAATAGTTTATTGCGCAGGTCCAGAGACAAAGGCTGAACCCCAAATGACATCAGGAAATTCCTTTTNCCCTGAGTCCCTCCCGGAGAAGGGCGGCATACAAATAAATTAAACCTTAAATCTTAAATCTTAATCATATACTGTTTACTTAAAGAAGGTGAAAGGCAAAATATACTTACCGGTATATATCAGTTGCAGCTAAAATTCCCAAGCAAAGAGTTGAAAAAAAGTTTAAGAAACTCTTAAAAGTATTGGGAATTGATATTTTATGTATTTCAGATCAAAACTATTATCAAACAAAATTTGACTGATTATATACTATCAAGTTGGTATCAACATTTAGTGACCACATTTTCCCCCCAGAATTATCCATCTCCAACTTGATCTCCCAATGATGGATCTATTGCCACTGTAATTTAGTCTATTCATTTGCTTCCATAGAATATCACAAATAATTGTACACAGAATTGTACAATTCTGATTTTATAAGTATAGACATATCACAACATCTGAATATCTTTTCAAGATCTTCATCTCTATCAAGTGCTAACCTGTGGCATGTAGCTTGATTGCTGGAATTCCTAAAAAGCAGAAGGATCTTACCACTTTAGCATCTTCATAGTCACGTGGTCCCATGTTTTTACTGTGCTTCTTGGCTACAATCATTTTATTTGTATGTTTAATGATTAGAAGACAGTAATGTCACCAATATAGTACAGATTATTGATGTTCCTTCAGTTTTAAGTTCTTGCTCATTGTCTTTTAGTCCAGCTTTCAATAATATACACTGTGCTTTGTCTCTTGCATATATTATATGCTTTGTGACACTTTATTGAGGTGGAACCAATCTGTTTTACAATATTGTATCTGCAGCATTTTGATCTGTGTGTAGAGTTTGCATGAGGACAATGAAATGAAGCAGTGGAAATGGGAGAGTTAAGTCAGAAAACAGTACAGAAAAAAAAATTAGGGACTGGGTTTCTTGTTTAGTGTACTGCATTTCAATTAAGCACTATGTGGGCAAACCTCTGAGTCACAATGTATTTGTTGTGTTTGTAGGAAAAAAACACACTTTTCATTTTATATATACCACAAACCTCTTTCTAATGCACAGAAACAGTGCAAGTATTTTCATTTGGCTGTTTTCCTATAAAACTCAAAAGACAAAGAAAGCAACATAACCTACGGACTTGGCAACCAGTCTCAACAGCATGACAACATTATCTGTAATGCATACACAGTGCAGAATTTTGCATTTGCTGTCTGCCTGAAATAGGAAAACACAACACATTCAGTACAATATTACATTACAACCCATGAACTCTTTAGTTTTTCACATTCTTGGTATTTTTTATTCTAGATATACTAGACATTATGAAATATTATTATAAGAATTCAGAGTATATTTATGCAAAAAACTGTGTTATTTCCTGGAATATATAATTCAGTTTTTAATCCTTGGTTACAGATATATGCATGAAATGCAAAACAAAATTTCTTTTGTTTATCTTAGGCAGTCATAGAGTCTATCATAGTGAATAATTGAAAATCCACAAACTTCTTAGTGAGCTTATGGTATGAATTTGACTTTTTCTACCAATATCCAGAAGAAAATTATCTTGTGTACCTCACTCAAATATCTTACATTTGTCAAGTCTGGACATTACTTGAAGAGAAATATGAGCTGATAGGTTGATTATATTATACTCTAAATTGTTAGAATGTTGGTAGCAATTATTACTGTTCAAATAAATCTCTAAATGCTATACATGATGTGCAATTAATATTCACTTTGTGATTACTGCACTCAGAAAAGAGGAAGGTGAATTGTAATGTTAAAACTTCTTTTCATCTGAATATTCTGCTATATTGAATCCAAATGAAATCATGAAATTTCTCAAATGTTTTCAAAAGGATCAGAATTATTTTAAACTAGAGCTATAAAATAGTCAATGGAACTAAAAAACTGGATCGAAAAATTGGACAGACAATTGAGAAACAAATGTTTTAACGACCATGAAAGAAACATGAGCAGAACTGACTGCTCATCCAATTTGGTTCAGCATTCCTTATTAGTGTAATGCCAGGAAGAAAAGTTTTATTTATTTTATTCCATATTAATACTTTTCGAAGGAAATAAGAGTCTCAGTTCACAATATTGCTATACAGGTAGCAATATTTGGTATAGGTAGCCCTTCAGCTGCTGTGTCTCTAATTTCTTGAAGTGCTTTATACGTTAGAATCAGGATTTTGAAATGGATCAGGAAGAGATTTGAGACACATAATAGTATTGTAATACGGTATAATTGCAATTCCTTGTTTCTTTAAGTATACACATCCTGTGCAGCAAAGATGTCGTTAACCCATATTCACAGACAGATGGCTATCCAATTACAATTACAATAGCAGAGTTGGAAGGGACCTTGGAGGTCTTCTAGTCCAACCCCCTGCCTCGGCAGGAAACTCCTTCAGAAATACCATTTCAGACAGATGGTTATCCAACATCTTCTTAAAGAGTTCCAGTGTTGGGGCTTTCACAACTTCTGGAGGCAAGCTGTTTCACTTATTGATCTAACTGTCAGGAAATTTCTCCTCAGTTCTAAGTTGCTTCTCTCCTTGATTAGTTTCCACCCACACTGCTGGCTCATATTTAAATGGTTGTCCACTAGGATTCCAAGATCCCTCTCATAGTTACTACTATTGAGCAAGGTACCACTTACACTGTACCTGTGCATTTTGTTTTTCTTGCTTAAATGTAGTACCTTACTTTTTTCACCATTGAATTTCATTTTGTTAGATAGTGCCCAATGTTCAAGTTTGTCAAGATCCTTTTGGTCAGCCA